GTGGACGGAAGACATGAATTCATTTTCGGAAACCAACAAAAATCGTATATAATTTCGCTTTCTTTCACTTTAAGCACTGAATTCTTAATACAAATAAACAATACTTTAATTTAATTCAAATTCATTGAACAAAACTTTTAAAACTAATAACTATTTTCGACATCAGATTAAGTTTCATATCATCTTTCGTTTGTTATAAACCATTAAATGGTTTAAGAAATTAAATGTAGTTTTGAAATACAGATACTATTTATACACTTTAAATAAATAGTGTTTTAAAAGTAAACAAAACAATTATTTATGCCTTCATTAACACAAAAACAAGACAATTGTCTTCACTTGAGAGCCAATTGTCTTCAATGGTAAGCATTGAATCAAATTCGCCTTTAATTAGTCATCACTTATGTCTTCATTACAATGAAATGCAATCAAATGTATTCAACCATTAATTTACCATTTGGTCGATGTCTTCGTCCAAAATGATGGGATTTTGGCACAGATTTTGCGGTAAATTAAAGAGTCTTAAGGAGTGGTCGTCGCTGTTAGTCATAAGACAGGATCCGTCTGCAGACCATTTGCAACCCTTCAGACAATTGTTTGGTTTGGTATTGAATTCATTCAATGAATGGTTAATCAGTTTCGGACTCTTTTGCCATTCGTAACAATTGTTGACTACATTTTGATCACCACTCGTGAGACAATCACTGCTTCGTTGGTCTGTATCTAAGAGTTGTTTCAATCGATCTAACGGTTCGTCAGTTGTGTCGGTCATTGTCTTAGACATAGAGTGGTGTCAATACTGACAGTGAATATCATATGAAAAAGTGGTCACAATTTAAACACAATTTCACAACACTTTCAGCGCTTTTCCACTCAAACAGAGGCAACACATTGAGAGTCACGTGACGTGAATGACAGCCAATCAGTGCTCACAACGAAAGTGAGACCGAATTTGAAACGCATTTTACGCTTGGATTCCAACTTTGAATCACTTTTCGACCATTTATTTGATTTCTCTTTAGATCTTTAGACCGAAAGCCGAACTCAAAGCCGAACTCTAAGTCGAAAACAATGGAAATGAAGGGTTTGTTCGATATATTCGACGATTTGATTGCATCGGAAAACAGAGCCAAAGAGAAGAAGACTATTATAAACTCATGTCTCAGATTAAGACACCATTCAATTGATTCATGTCTTGTATTCATGCCTTTTATTGTGTTTTTGTTTCAGTGAAGACAGAGATCCGGAAGAATGAGCAGACATTGCGTGAAATGAAGACTTCGATGAAACAGATTGAGAGCCAAATGTGCGATCAAATGGCGACAAGTGTTGAGACGACCACTGAATTGGGTTTCATTGACAGCGAAAACACAATCCTTTGGCAACAAATCCAATGCTTTGAAACCAAATTAAGACAATTGACACAAACGATGGTAAAAGTGTTGTTCAAATGGTTTCCCCCTTTCGTGTCATTTATTGTGATTGAAATATAGGTTCAAATGAAAGCCAATCGAAAGCAAGAAATCAATGAATTCGTGGAGAAGTGCTTCCAATTTAGCCGAGAGTACGGAACTAATGGTTGTCTTCGGAGGCAAACGATTGAATGCGAAGAACGAGTTAAACAATTGATTGTATTGAGAGATGAGTTGCAAACAAAGGTTAATGACATCCAAACCAAAGCTATAGAATTGAAGTCTATTATGGATTTGAAGCAAACATTGAATGAAGAGATGAGTCGATTGAATGCGAAGATCAATGTGTACTCAAAAGAGAACTTAGATTTGAAACTATTTGGCAATCAATTGAGTAATCGATTGAAAGAATTGACGCAAAATGAGTGCATCGATGAAGAGTTTGTTTCGTTGACCAAAGAATTGCAATCCATTGAAGTTAAGCCTAAATCACCCGAAATGGACACTCGTTTCACAAAAGCAAAACAACTCGTGTCTGAAGTAAAACAAGAGAAGTGTTTGCAATCTTTTGTTCACAAATCCGAGCCTAAGATTAAAAGCGAAGAATTTATTACAAGTGATTGCGAGACAACACAAGAGTTGCATAAAAGCGAAAAGAGAGTCAAAACTTTATGGGAATTAAAGAGACATTTGCGCAAAACTGAGTTCAAAACTGAATAAAGGCTTTCGTTAACTAAATATTATTAATACAAATTCATATTTTTATTATTGAAACCATTAATGAATCGATAAATTCTCGACACAACAGCTATTGTACCAAAAAAGTTGTCAAAACAGGAAAACAACTGTATTTCGAAACAAATATTTCCTTGACGTCAGAAACACTTTCCTTTCAATTAATTTTGTAATTATTTAATTTGAAATATTTATTATTTTTTAATTTATAAATTACATAAAATTTTTAGTAAATAACAGAATCTAAATCTTTAATAAAAACATTAAACAAAATGTTAAATTTCTTTAATCGGTTTGATTGATATATCAATCAATCAACAAATGGTTTACGTTAGAGATTGAATACAATTACTGTATTTGAAGACTAGTCTTAACAATAGTCTGTTTCGGTTAATCATGTTATCACAGAATAGTTGTCCATTAATTCCAAACATTTACCATATTTTAATAGTCAATGGTTTCAATTGTATATAAAAATATAATTATCATTATTTAAAACTAATGAACGCATAAGTGTTTCGATTGACAAAATGTGGACTATTTTGTTGTCAAACTTTTGATCGATTAAACACTTGTATTAAATATGATTGACATTAAACAGAAGTGTTATTAATTGGTCTCTAATCGATGCATACGTTGGCCTCGTTTTCCGCATTCATATTACCATTCAATTGAGTATTCGCTTCATTCAAATCAAGCGTCGGTTCGTTGGCCTCAATGCCTGAATCGTTGGTCACAACCAAACTCGCGCTTAAGACAGGCATCGATAACAGGTTATCAGTGGTCTCCGTATTGTCCGTGTTTTGGGACTCATTTGTTTCGCTACTATTGTTGTCGTTATTGGCGTTACTTTGAGAGACAGTCTGTCGTTTAGTGCCAACACTTCGGCCACTTTTAGTTCGTTTTGAGACTCTTCTCGACGAACCGCTTGTCGTCTCTCCAGTGGATCCGTTCGCAGAAACCGTCACTTCAGACATCTGTGGCTAATAAATGGTTAACAAAGACATTAGAAAATGAATCAAAACAATGAAAACTCACATTTGGATCATTGGTTGTTATCATTGGATCCATTCTTAAGACACAGATCTCAACAAAAGACTCGTCAATCGATTGTTTATTAAACGTATTTTACATTCAATTCAACACTAATTGTGTGTAATTTGAGGACAATTTAGGTTACAATCAAATCGTCGCTAAATGAGAGACACTATTGTATTGAATGAATGAAATGATGTATACATTGCTTACAATTGGTATTATTGAATACAACAATACATGCATTCAATGCATTCATCTGTTGTCATAAAAGGGCACAAATAGTTGTCACAAATATAGGCTTTTGATATGTATTTCTATAATTGGAGACGCATTTCGGCGCAACTTTCAAATGAGTCATTCATTTCATGCATTTTTGTATTATTGAAAAATATACTGTATTTTTGTCACACATTTTGTCTATTTTCATAATTTCGTAATTTAATGCATTATTTCTTTATTTATGTAATAAATCATTTTTGTAATACAAATGTATAATGAAAGTTAAAATTAATTACAAATTTACACAATTAAATAAAATTTATTAAAATCAATTAAATATAATAATTTACATTTTAAAACCACCAAAGCTTTAGACTATTTTCTTGTGTTGTCTTTAATAGAGACAAGTCTTCGTCTTCTGAATCGGAAATATCAGGAAATCTTCTTTGGCCTGAAGTGGTCGACAGCACCGGTAGAGTCGGGTGAAGACTGATATACAATAAACACATTAATCGTCATTTATATGATAAATAAAGAGATAATAAATGTCGATCTAATACCTAATGCCATTCACACAGTCATTATGTGCGACAAATGTGTTGATTGGTTTCATTACGTTCTCATCACTTGATTCGCTACTAATATCATAAATGGCAACAAATCCAGTATCACTTCCGGTCACCAAATACTTTGAATCCAAAGTTAAATCAAAATATATTCTTTGGTTTGTATTCACTTCACGATTGATGACAGACAAGACATTACCGATATTTCTCAGATCCCAACAGAGAATCTCGGAATCCTTTATACAAATTGTTTAAAACTTCATTTATTTTGAAAATAAAATGATTAACAAAATAATACTTTTCTTCCGCCGCTATAAAGACGATTGCCGTCTGAAGAGAACTTAAGATGAGTGACACCTCCTCTCTGACCCGATAGGACGCATATGTTTGTCATTCCCGGCTCTTCGTAGAGACCAATGCTTTTATCATAAGAACC